TAAAGGCATGGTGACCAGTGGATTTATTTTCCTCCCCCCCCCCCAATAATAAAATGTCATTTGTTGCTGCTTGACTTAGTGGCCAGATCACTTCAGTAGCCTGGCAATTTCTTCAGCAAAAATGCTCTATGATAGAGATGGAGGTAACAATCTTTCCTTTTCATTCATGCCCCTGAGGAGAAAAGGAAGGACACAGCATCAGGACGATTCTATTTGAAATGAGAAAGGAAGGCTGCCAAGAGGCTTGCCACTTCAGACAGCTACCAAGGGTGGGAGGCTTGTTGTTGTTTGAGAAAAGGGAGAGATAGGCCTCCTTTTGAATTCCTTCCATTCCATAAAAGTTGGGGGGGGGGAAATGGGGCCTCTTCAGTCAGTTTCTCAAAGCTACATTGAATCGTGTTCCCAGGTAGATTGATAACTAAGAAAGATGTTTAAGAAACTGGGAGGAGTTTCTTCTTTGGGTCAAAAGGATATTCTAGCATACCTCACTTTCACTGGGCTTTTCATGGCATATCGAAGGCCACACTCCAAAAGCAGTTTCAATAGGTCCCAAAGTGGCTGTAATTTGGGGGCCTGAGGGTGCCCATTTCACTCTTAAAAATCCTTCAGAATACAAGAAGGGGGCAAATTGGGGGGCACCACACACTCTTGGAAGCCCTGGGAATAACACCAGGAGTGCTGATAGGCTGCACTTTTTGCTCCCCATTTCAGTATATTTGGTTATCGTGATTATCTGAAAAGAGTTCTTGATTCCTTTAGAAACTCGTTATGGGGTTGTGCTCATGCTCTTTGTTAAGCCAGTGTGAAAAGTCCTTTGGAATATAGAAATTGGGCCATTGAGCTGATGATCGCACTGCATTGTGGTGAGGAGAGGAAACCTATGACCTTATCTTATTTCTGATCCTGTTACACAGCAGCTGTTACGCTATTAATAAATTGACCAAGTAATTCAGAGTGCATGAATTAGGATTTGACATGTTAGAATAATTCACAACAAAAACATGGACTTAGTAAACTTATGATTGTCTATTTAATGGTGCTTATGGTTATAGACTGTATTCTTAGGTGTGTATCATGGAGGATATAAGAATAACACTTAATAAATTCCTAATTATTTCATGGAGGACATTATTTATACAGCGCATCAACTAGTTAGAAAACATAGATGTTGGTGACTGAAAGTCAATAATTTATTTTTTTAAGAAAAAGAAACATATCGGCTTTGTGACCTTGTTAAAATGGATTGCAAATAAATTAACCAACAAGAGTTTGCTTTAATCCAGGGCAGAAAATCATGATTTAATCAGAATGTTTATAGTCGTGCTTATAATTAAGGCACTGGATGTCCTGCTTCTGTTCTTTCAGCTGAAACTGGAACTTTTTAGCAGCATCCTATGCAGGCCAAAAGCATGGCATGCTAATTGCAAGCCTGACCTGGGTGCCCTCCAGTTGTCCAACCAGTATGGCCATTACTGAACCTTCTTGGATTTGAAATCCACATTTCTGAAAGGCATGCAGGTTGGGGAAGACTATTTTAGATTGTAAGGTCTGGTTACTGGATCAGGCTAAAGGTTTAACCAGTTTAGCATTCCTTTTATAACGAACAATTATCTCTGGAAATTCATAACCATGCCTGGGGCTGGTTTTGAAGGATGTGTAAAAACTACATTTAGTTCAGGATCCAGCCACCAAATCTGTTTGTCAGTCATCTGATGAAGAGAAGGAACAGTATTACCATATCTTTTTGTTGCTGCTGTTAATAGCAAGGCTGGGCCTTTTCTTCCTCCTCAGAGAGGTTACTAAGACTAATTACCCTGTGAGGAAGCACAACAATACCATCTGCTCTGGAGCAACAGTGTCATCTGGGCAGCCCTGAGCAGTCCAGTATAAACAGCCAATACAGTCCTTATGAGCCATGAAAAACTGCTGTCTGAATGGTCTTTTTTTATTTTTCCTTGCAGTCTCCTTTTCCTTTCCTTATATGCCACATCTGTTTTTTTAAATTTCCAAGTTTTCTGGGAGACTCTCAAGGTAAAGAGTGGGGTATAAATACTTTAAACAAGGGTATATAACTTTTTTCAACTTGAGAGCCTTCCTTCCTTCCTTTTATATGCTCACCCAACTCAGACAGTGTGATTCTGGACAGCATACAAAAGAAAGAAAGAAAATCAGACCCAACAAATACAAAAACATCACATATTATTAAAACTTACTAAGTGATAAAATGGTGATCAGGGCCGAAGTATGTCTTAAAGTGGAGGCTCTACTCATCCTGGTCCAAAGCCCCAGGAGAGACCCAGGTCTTAACCATCTTCTTAAAGTCCCTTGTGTGATGGGAAGGGGACCATGTTGCTACAGAGTAAAGGGTGCCAGGACAAGAAACCAGATGTGTCATAAATTAAATTAAATACAGATTTGTTTGTTCCCCTTCTGTCACCTTAAAAAGTATAATATGGAGGCTACTTTTGGAGGAGTTCTATAGGGCTGCACCAGGCTTGGAAGGCACTCCTCCTTTAAACAAACAAAAATAGTTTATTAATTCTTTTAGTTGACAGTCTTTGCCTTGGCTGAAGTCAAGATACTGGTATTTACCTTTTCTAGTTCTAGGGTACTAAGGTAGTGGGCCCATCCATGTACCTTCCTTGCCCCAGCACCAGATGCCCTGCTTATCTTTTGTTGAGAATATGTATGTATGTATGTATGTATGTATGTATCCATCCATCCATCATCCATCCATGTATCCATCCATCCATCCATCCATCCATCCATCCATCCATCCATCCATCCATCATATTTATAAAGCCTCCCATCTCACAAAACATGACTCTAGGAGTTGTACAATAAAAAAACAAATCATAAAATAAATATTTAAAACATTCTACAATTAAAAACATCCATCAGTGTTACTATCAATAAACTAGCAGAGATGATTTGATGGTATAGGCAATGCAGCCATCTCACTAATTCACCATTTCCTTGAGATCTCTAAACATGTCCTCCACCTAGGGGCCAGCCTGCCACTGAGGCAGGCTGAAGCTGGATCAAGGATTTGTCCATTGGGAAACAGAAGAAGCCATCCTCTAATGACCATCCTGTACTGCATGGAAGGGGAGGACCCTGAAGAAGGTTGGTGGCCTGCAGGCTGCAATTGGCCCACAGATATACACTCCCTCCCACTTGGCCATGGGGCTCTATGGCTTTGTGGCCGTTTCTCCCATAGTTGCCAGAGAGATGAGACCTTCCCTGGCAACCACTTTTTCCCCCAGGGTCAGATCAGGGGAATATTAACCAAGCAACATGTTTTACCCCATCTCAAGGATAGGAAGAAAGCACATTGCCAGGAGAAGAGAGGGGGAAGAGCCCACTGTCTTCTTCCTGCCTTTTAAGATATAGGGACCAAAAAAAAAAAATCCTGGTGCTACTCTTATACCAGTCCTGCTATAAACTGACCCTGTCAAATAACCTTTTGGAAACAGCTTTGCAGTTCTACAGCTTGCCTGTTTTAAGAGGGCAGCTAAGGCAAGCCTTTTTATCATCTGCATTTTACTGTTACTTGAGTTTTTGGTTCCTCCAGTTTTTTATTTCTGTTATTTCTGTTGTTAAATTTTAATACAGTTTGAGTTGAAAATCTGAAATACTAAACCTTTGGTTTAAAGTCGCATGCACAAACACATGCAAAATAAGCATGGCACAATAGGATAGCCATCTTTTATTGTTTGCCCCAAGACAGTAACTGAGAGATATAGGGCCTTTCAATATGGAGTTTCATTTCCCTATTATAGTTGTCAGCTGTCAGTAAATCTACCCTCTAGATTTGTTTTATTCCAGTCTTTCTCACTCTCCAGTCTTGAGACTCCCCCTTTCAGAGTTTTACTTTTTGGCCATACTGGCTGGGATTGTGGGAGTTACTGTCTTAACATGAACTGGATATATTTACTGGGATCTCATTTAAAAACCTTCTTAAACCATTCCCACATTTTGTGGAAATGTATCATGGAGATACATGCATACTGTAGGTTGACTATGTCCTGTTCGAAGCAGTCCTCCAGATCAACTGCCAATGAATTTTAAGTTGGTGACCATGAATTTCAGTTCTAGGATAAAATGTTGTCTTTACCCCATTCACATTTTTGGAGACCTCCCTCATCTTGTCTCCTTGTAAAAGGAAGAACCCAGAATCTTCCCTCTGTCCTAATCTTGTCATCTTTTCTATGTGGGGCTTCATAGGGAAGGAATCAAGAAACTTTGTACTGTATTACCTAACATCTGGTAACTCTTACTAATTCAATAGATGCACTTTAGAGCACAGAACTGTGTTGATAATATTAGAGCAACAAAGAATGCTACCATTTCATGACAATATTGACTTAATGGTAGGAATGGTAATAATATTGAAGTGTAAACTTGCAGGCTAGAGAAGATGTGATCCATATGCTGAAGACAGAGAAAATCAGACCCGAAATCCTGGAGGCACACTATGGCTCTGCGGCCCCTGAGAACGTCCTCAGAATATTGCATAGAGATGCTCTTCTGTCCAAAGAGAAATCAATAGGAGAAGATGTTTATGAGAAGCCCATTTCAGAGGTAAGCACCTTTCAGGTTATTTTCAGAACTGAAAATCAGAGTGTCTTTTGAAAGTTTTTCTTCAACTTGCATTTTGTTATTTGCCTGAGGTATCATTACAGAGTATTAATATCAGAAATCTAAAAAGCAGATTGTAAAATGCCAACCCTACAGAGCTTCCAGGGAAATATCCTACTGGTCACTGTAATTTCACTTCTCAGGAAACCTGCACAGGATTGCATTTCTCTAGCTCTGAAGTTGAAACTAGGGATACTGGAAAGTTAGCAATTATACATTCCTGTATACAGGCCCAATGCAACACTAAGCAAACCACAGTGACATCTGCATGCGGTTTTAGGAAGCTGGTTGAATCTGCTCCAGCAAGCAAGAAATTAACAGAGCTTCTCTGTTCCACAGCTGTTCATAAATACCAAGCTGGTTTGGCTGAGGGCATCTATGTGCTTATTCCCTGACATGATTATTTTCAGGTTGTGTTCTTGTGATTCTTGTCAATTTTCATTAGAACAGTAATTAAGAGGTTTCCTCACAACCATTTAGAATCTGATCAGATTCCTCAAATTGAAGCAGTGGCTGAGAAATCATAAGCCAGGGTAATATAGAGGGGTTTAGGTGTTTACCTAGGACTGGGGTGACCTAAGTTCAAGTTCCTTCCAAATGACTGAGGACAGTGGAGCTTGCTGAATGCTTTGAGGTCAGTCACTCACTCTGCTCATAAAGTAGAAACAAAATGAGATTCCTATGGATGCCTTTTTAAGCATGAGATTAATGTGCAAACTGCATGGAATGAATTCACAAATGAACATTTACTTCAAACCTTGATGAGAATATTCCCTTTCCTCCTCTTTTCTGGCCACCATCTCTCACCAAGCTCCAAACCGGCAAAACTCATTCCTCAGATAGCTTGATGTAACCAAAATGTGAACTTCTTTCCTCAGGAGTTAGCTCATCCAAATACTAGAAACAGTAACTGAGTCCATGTCCTTTCAGTAAGACAAGTTCCTTGTTGGATAGATTAAAGTCAGTCAGTGATCTATTTAACACCACCCATTTTGTGTTTCAATAAACCAGCTGGACAGACTAGAAGAAAAGCAGAAAGAAACATATCGGCGTATGCTTGAGCAGCTTCTTTTGGCAGAAAAATGCCATCGACGCACAGTTTACGAGCTGGAAAATGAGAAGCATAAACATACTGATTACATGAACAAAAGTGACGACTTTACCAATCTCCTGGAACAGGAGCGTGAACGGTGAGCTTCAAACATACTCTCTTGGATGAGATCTGCATTTCAAAAGTTAATTTGATAGGAAGTGAGGTTCTTTTACCTGGCTTTTTTTTTCTTGCAGATCTACAGCATTATAAGGGAAGAAATGGTTTAGCATATCAAAAATATTTTTCCATATATTAATCTCACTATCTATGAAACCTTCCTGCCCATTCCAATTTAGTATCAGCTTCCTGGTACCATTAAATCCAAATCTCAGTCTTTTGGGACTGATTTATGCAAACACAAATTTGATGTATATACCGGCTTATCTCAATCATTAGACTTTTGCAAACATTTAAAAAATAAATTAACATATATTTAAATTGAGTAGTGAAAACTTTGAGATCAAAGCATGCTCCTAATCCTGGAACAATGTGAGCCTCTTTTGGTTGTATGAAGTTGTAAGTGGGGTCTTGCAATTACAAGTTGTTTTGATATGCTCCTGTGTCAATACTGTGGTACTTGCAGATGAGAAAATACTGTTTCAGGTCAGCAAATGCTGCTTCAGAACTGGCGAAGAATTGCAGCCTAAAGCTGGAAGATGTGATCTGTGCTCTTACTGGAGGAGATTGATGGTTTGCCCCACCTCCTGGGATCCTTCTTGTCATGATTAGGAGAAGTCAACGTGCAAAATTGCCAGTATACCCATATTAAGAGTTTGGAGGTTTACCATCAGAGTGAGAACAGAAACCTAGGAAAATACGAATAATTTATTTTCTTTTATTGTTGTGAGGGGGGGAAACATATGGCTGTTTGGGAACAGACCTGAGAGGTTGGGATAAGGTCTTGAGTAACTGGCGGGCAAGTAAGTTCTGATTGCTGATAGTTCTCTGTGCACCATTATTGCCAGCAATACCAAAGGCTGATTGGCTGCTAGTTGTCCATGAACTTGGTAGACTCATAAGCATGTAAACAAATCTGCAGCATCCCCATAGCCATGTAGATCTGCAGAGAGTCAAAACCGCCTGAATCAGTCCCTGGGGTTTTAAAACTATGTTTAGAAAGACTGGAAGTACTGTATCTAATATCTTCAAAAGATTATTTTCATTGGGATGTACCAAAGAATGACCTGAAATCAGTTTGACCATTCAAAAGAAGAGTTCAGATGGCACAGATCCACTGGAAACAAGATAAGTCAATCTAAATAGACAAAAGTAATATTAATATTATTATTCATTGTTAAAGGAGTTGCCATGACAGCTTAATGAGAGAGTTCCTAATATTTGTACTTATATTTTGAGGACATACCTACTCTGTTAGATAAAGTCTTCATTGCATTGAGCTTGTCTTCATGGGGACATTCATATAGTTTTCTTAGCAACAAGATGGATTTAGTTTGCCACTGCCTTATTCTGGAATGTTTGTTTCAACTTCCTGATCAAACCTGCAGTTGTGGTATTCTCTGGAATTCTTCCATCCAAGTACTAACCAGGTCTTAAGCTGCTTAGCTTCCAAGCGAGAAAAGATCAGCCAGGTACTGTTGCCACTGACATTTACTTATATTTATTTTATACAACAAATCATAATTTCCCCCAATGAATTAGAAGAAGTATTGGATGAAAGTTACCAACAGCTCTCTGTTAGAAATCCCTAGTCCTTATCAGAATCGCAACATCAAGAGATTCCTATGAATGGGCAATCATATTTAGTCTAGCTGTGATATATGTGAACCCAACCCACATAGTGGAAACTATTGCAAATCCAGAATGCAGAATTAATTTAGTAGTTAAATTAATTATAATTTATAAGCAAGCAAAACCATTGAGTCTGTTTCAGTGTTGAAGCAAATATCTGAAAATGTCCACTTTTGCAAAATTTTAATTAAAACAATCAAATATAAAATGCAATTGTGTGATTTGAATGTGAAGTGTATCTTGCATTCGGATACCTTTTGGCTTCTTTTCTAGGCATACTATATTTGGGCTGCAAAAAGTTGGATGACCACTAGATGGAAGTAACGGACTACTTTCCTGAATTGGTTTGCCCCCCCATCTAGTGGCTCTAAACTGTGATTCAGCCTAATGAAGATGACCAGAAGTTAGTCTCTGGTTCACACACTCCCACTCTCCTTCTCTGATATAGCTGCAAGCTATTTTCATAATAGCTTAAAAGTATTTCATACTTTATAATATTATACATATTTTATATATCATATTATAAATACAATAGTAATATATAAATTATAATACTTTAAAAATAGTTTAAAATTGGATTGTTGTTAGGAATTATTTTCTAACAAATTGTTAGAAATAATCACAGTTTGCTATGTTTGACTGATCACAAGGAGCGGTCAATGAAAAATGGAAAGGAAAAAGTACACCACCATTCTTATAGCTGCTCCAAAGAAGCAGCATGTGAGTTTAAGATTGGTAGTGTAGCTCAGCCTCCTCAGGCTAAACTCAGTGTGAAGTCACAGGGGTATCTGTGGTGTGTTGCAGTGTTACCATCTCAGTTAAATGTACCCCCCCCCCAGTATTCCACATGAACTGTTTGCGCCTCCAAATATGCTCCAATGCACAAGAATTCTGTGACAAGAACACATGCATTTCTAGATGTTTTGCTTCAATACCAAAACAGACTTGATGGCTTTGTTTGCATTCATTAGTGAAAAGTCATTGGCATTATGGGAAGACAGAGTGTCTGAAAACATGTGCCATCCTCCATGGCTTTTCTTATTATTTATGTGTCTTTTATACTCTTTAGTCCTATTAATTCAAAAGGCCTCTATTAAATGCCATCAGATATCAGCTACCCAGTTCCACATATTATTTGGAATCAGATCAAATTTTAAATACTCTGCAGATATTCAGAATAGCTTCCTAATAGTAGATACAGTCCTTTGAAAGATTGAAAGTTTGAAAGAAAATTCACTTTAACCCCACCTTTTCAGTGTACATAGCTTTTAAGTCTATTATGTTTTAACAAATAAATAAATAAATAAATGCCTTAATAATATACGTTTCTTATTCTGGATTTGTTAATTTAGTTGAAATAACACCTAACCATTGAAAAATTATAACTAGGGAAGATGATATTTGATAATAAGAGGAATAACTTT